TTGAAGATAGGACGGTCTCTGGTTCTTCTATCAAAGGTGGGAAGGTCTCTGGTTCTTGTATTAAAGATTGTATGATCTCTGGTTCTGTTTTGAAGATAGGACGGTCTCTGGTTCTGTTTTGAAGATAGGACGGTCTCTGGTTCTTGTAACAAAGGTGGGATGGTCCTTACAGAACCTTGTCCCCACAGAACCTTCTGGGTTCTTCAGTATTTTTGGGCGACAGGACAAACCGACAGCATTTATGTACGAAGCACTTTTGTCTTTTTACTTTGTTCAAACGAGAATAAAACAAACTCAAACACTTTTCTTACTTGTTGCACTTTTTTCACATTAATTTGACCCAAAAACGACTAATTTCTGTAAATAAAAAACAGTTTTTCTGTAAATAAACTCACTTTGAGCGACTCTTTTTGCTCATTAGCAGCTTGTTTTTAACCTTAAAGCTGCTTTCATTTAYTAATGTGTAAAAAGGATAAATTAGTTCTTTTAAAATAAAATCTCAACTTGTTTTTTCTTGGTGTAAAATCAATGAAGTTCTGCGTGTTTTCATTTTTCAGCTTTGTCGATGAACAGAAACGTTCAACCTGCTGAAGCTTCGTCTCGGATGTATTTGTGGCCTTTTTCTGCRTGTTCCCTGAGCAGGGGATGAGCTGTTTACAGACAGGCCAGATTAGCTGTTCACACTCTTTCACACACGTTTCCTGATGAATAAATAACATCACAGAAGCTGTTGTGTTTTTTGTTTACTTGAGGTTACATTTGAATAATTTCAGAATATTTATTGTGCTTCTTTACCTAAAACCCAAATACCTCCAGTGAAAAAACWTTTTGATCTCTAGTAATTCCTGTCTTAATCCTTTCTGTATTTTTTAAATATTTCAGCGTCTTCCTGCATCTTTTTTTCCTTATTTTATGAGATGAGACACAGAAGTTATGTGTAAAACACATTTTTAGTGTTATATAATACATATTTTATATTATATTTGTACATTTCGTTCTTTAAACACCATTATTTCAATTAGAAATGGGAAAATTCCTGAAACGTTCAGTCTTAAGCCCCTCCCACAGAAGAGTCCCAGAAGCCAATCAGGTGTGAGAACAGAGGTCAGGTGACCCGAGCTCCGCCGCCATCTTTGTTAATGGATGTGAAGCCCGACAGGAGGAGCAGCAGCAGAGCTTCGGGGTGAAGGTGTTGGTTTCTGGGCTGGGAAACATGGTCCAGACGTGCTCAGCGTACGGCTGCAAGAACCGGTACCACAAAGACAAAAACATTTCATTCCATAAGTGAGTTCATCCGAACCGTCTGTCCGAGCTAGTTAGCATTAGCTGCACGATTAGCTACAGACAAACTGTGGTTCAAAAACACTAAAATTAATATTTGTAATATATTTTATTTATCAAGACGGTTTCTTTATAAAACAATTACTTTATTCAACACGTTTGTTGATACATTTAATC